AATTTCAAGAAAACTCTTACTCAGAGGTGTGGAAGTGTGACTCTGCAATTTAAGGACAAAGAATTGGATAGAGGCACCTGCATCCCACAGACACTCAGGACTTTGCAGCAACTTGGCCTACAATCACATGTTCCAGAGCTGACCCACAAGGTAGGATTCATCTCAGCTAACCTTAGATACCTAAGATATAGATGTCTACAGTGGAGTTGGTCACCTAAGGCTCTCTCTACAATCAAGAGAGAGAGAAGCAAACATTATTTCATTTACAACACCATTTCATAGAATCATTAACATAATTCAGGTAGAAAGGGATCCCAGAGGTCTCTAGTCCAACCTCCTGCTCAAAGCAAGGTCAACTTGCTGAGAGCAGACCAGGTTGCTCCAACTTTGTCCAGTTGGATCTTGAAAACCTCCAAGGATGCAGATTGCACAACCTCTCTGGACAGATCTTCCAATGTTCAAAAGTTTTCACAGGAAAAAAACATTTCTTCTTCTATCCCTCTGTAACCCCTTGTTTCCCTTTATGCACGTGTTTTCTCATCCTCCCACGCGTTAACTCAATGAAGAGCTGGGGTCCTCCTTGTACGTACTAGGTAGGCTGCTGTTAGGTTCCCCCTCTAAAGACGCCTCTTCTCCAGGCCTAACAATCCCAACTCCCGCAACCTGTCCTCACAGGACAAGTGCCCCAGCCCTTGACTGTCCTATGGGGTTCTGCTGAGCGATACTGTCACTAAATCACCCACCCCAATTTATCTCATCCCTTTTTGATTTCTACTGTAGGATGAGGGGCATCACAGCACATCCTGCTGGGCTATGCTGGTTCAGACCTAGATCTCCACTGACAACAATGGCATCTTTGGTTGACATATCCCATGTAGACCTCTAAAAGGCATATTCCTGCACTTATTCATCTGAATCACACTTAAAAAATCTACAAAGTCAGCTGCCCAAAGCTTTCTATAGGGATACACAAGGGATACATAAACTAGACTTTACAGTTGCCACTGTTTCGCATGCAAGGTACTCCCTGATTCTGACGCAGTTACAGGCTCTTTTGATAATCTCTTGTTAAACAACCTTTATCATCAGGTATGTAGCCTGTATTACAAAATTCTTTGGTAATTCCAAATGTTGGCCCATTTGCAATAGCATAGTAACTCTGACAATAAAATGCATCATTTTGACTTTGGTTCGTGGTGGCATTTCCCACTTTGCTCCCTTGAACACACACAACTTCTTCCTTAAAGAAAAGCCTCAGCACATAAAGGTTACAATCACCTTCGTTCCTCTGAAACTGTTCCATTACCACTGCATTTTTTATTAAGGTACCCCACTGTGCACAGAAAGCTATTTTCACTGGACTGTATAAATATTTGATGTAGCTCTGTTGACAAAGAGCTGTTTTAATGTTCTCGCTTCTGATTTACAAGAAGTATATGGGAAAAAGATTGAGCACGACAGGTCCACTAGTGGGCAAGAATTTTCCCAGCGCTGCCTCTAAACTGCAAAGCTCCCCCACCTGGGAAGCCAACCCCGACCCTAATGTTCTCAGTGAGTAAAACTAACTATGTGGCAGTTCATGTGGCCTGGGATCTGAATGCTGGCCTCTGCTCGGTATTTATAGACTTGTCCACCCCTGAATCTTTTCACCTTCAGCACACACAGATAAACTAATTCCATATAGATGATAAAAATCCCCGCCACTTCAGTGCGCAAGGTGAATGTAATTGGCCAAATGCATCACTGGTTCCAGGGCAGTGCAAACACAACAGGGACAGCCAGTCTGCACCTTTAAAAATTGACTAATTTTCTCTTTGAAGCATGTATTTTGTTTTCTTTGCTCTGTTTTTAAATATTGTTAATGTGTTCTGGTAGGTTTGCTAGCTTTTTTAAAGTCAGGAAATTCACAGACAAATGTGAATGACAAAATGACAAACATACAGGCACAGCTGTATCTGTAAAGAACTGCAGTTCACAGCAGCTGAAGAGGAGCAGCCTCCTAAGTGCACAGAGACACAGAATGGTTGAGGTTGGAAGGGACCTCTGGAGAATTTTTTTCCCTTATGTTCAGATACATCTTCTTGTGCTTCACCTTGTGCCCGCTGCCTCTTGTCCTGTCATTTTTTTCAGCTCAGTTAAATTACCAAAACAACCTTAATTTTGATCCTCTCTCCCTTCTCACCCTCACCCACTCACACTGCTGATGCGAGACTTGCTGTTCTATGACAGAAGCAAAGACTCCCTGTTGTTCTCTCACCATTTCCAGTGCTGTTAATCTGCAGCTTAACACTACAGTCCCCACTTCTCACTAGCAGAGGGAATGGGTGGTCATTCAAGTGGAGCATTATAGAGGGTCAGTTTAGATCTGGCATTATGGCAGAGAGAGCAAACACCTGAGCTGGGTAAGAAACACCATTAGGTGCCTAAGCTCAAAATTTAAATAGTCACTACCATGGGAACATTCAAGGAATAAGCAAGATGTTGTTTCTAACTTATTAGCAAAGCCTGAAAATATTTAGTATTACAGCATAGCTCTGCATGGTTTACGTGTCGTAACTTGCATTTGTGCTATATTTCTTAATTATTCAGTACAAAAAGAAACAATTGCAATCAGCGAACTTTAAAACTATTTTAGGCAAAAGTATTGGCAAAAGGACAAAATGAACTTATGATAACTGACAATGTGCAAATCTTTACTTCACAGGCCATTCCAAGGACAAGGAAAGAAAAAAAGAAAAGATAATAGCTCTGCTTTTAAGTCTAATATGCAAAATAATTAATTCATATTTTAAGGAAAAGTGAAAAAAAAGAAAAAAAATAACAGAAAAGAGGAAAACCCCCAGAACAAAGTAATGTAATATAACCAATTAAAGAAAGTATGCTAATAGTACCTTAATTTAGAGGAGGATTAATCAGTGAATTAGGAGACAAACTAGTGAAGAACTGGGTAGGCTGCCATAAAAGACCAGAAAAGAGTAGAGAGATGTGAAGCCCTCAACCTCTTCTTTTCTTCCTCCCCCAAGTTGCTTCACATCAGTATTTGACTGAGTAAGCTGTATCACTTCTCTGCAGCATGGGGAAATTTCAGGATTTATCTCATGAACCTTTAGCTGCAACTGGCAGCAGCTTGCAAATGTTCTTAGCAAATGTTCTTCTAACCGCCTGGGCACGTTCATGGCATTTATCATATTGTTGTAACGCTCACACTTCTAAAAACCGTAACTCTGAACCTCTTCACTTTTAAAACTGCTGTACCTGCAACTGTAAAACACTAATGAAAATGTTTTGCAATAGTTCATCTTCACTCTGTAATGTAACTTAGCTCTGAATGGGTCCACTTTTATATAACGTGGTCACCAATTTGTTGCTCCGTTTGCACAGAAGCCTTACGGTCATTATTCAGCCTTACTTTATCTCTGTCTGGGCAGTTATCTGGCACTCCTCCCTGTGCTATCCAAGTACACGACCTTCCCCCAGAGTTCTGTTGTGTAAATGAACTTTAAAAGTTTAAATAACAGAAAAATGTTGTGTTTGAAGTATTTTAGAGTGCATGATAAGCGTTTTTATTAAAGAAAACACTGACTCTGATACAGCCAATTAGGTTTGACTCTATGAGCTGCAATTTATACACATAAAATAAACGATCATTTGTTTTTAAGCAAGTTAACCAGCAATTACAAGACTTTCCAGGAAGCCGTGCAAAAGCATTCCAGCAACTGAACTTTAGACCTTCCTTTTTGCTACTTGCTGCAAAATGAAAAATTAGGGCTGCCTGTTAATTTCCCTGATGCATTTTACCAGAACAAACTAATGTGGCTGGTTTTTTTCATTCCAGGTCCAGGAATTCTGACCAGCTGCTGAGTAGCAAGATGCTGCTCTGGAAGCAGCAATCCCACGATTTTGCAGCTCAAAGCCACAAGCCTCAGAGGCAGCGCCCAGCCTACGGCTGCCTGGTCCCCTTTGAGGCCAGCCAAACAAACCAAAATGAGGCGAGAGGTTCACAGCATCCACAGGCTTCAGCTCAAAGCTTTTGAGATATGAACTACACTCGTGACGCATTTTTATCCAGCGATAATGCCAACATTTTTATGTTCAAGTACTTTCGTTCCCTCTGCTTGTTCTCATGGCTCCTTGGTCAGATCCCTATTAGACACCAAAATCCTTCTCTGCACCAGAATCACCAGGAGCGCAGGAGCACCGGCTGCCCACACTATTAAGTTGGATTCGAATCCTGGACTCAGAGCTACATTTTCACAGCAAGAAAACATATTTTCCAAATCTATTCTTAGCGTAAGACCAATGTCGAGCTCTCACTTGCACACGCTAGCTAGGATGAAACACAGAGGATAACTCTGTAAAACGCTGCGCTGACGAGGTGAAAAGGGGCCCTGCAGAAGGCAGCAGTAGCTGACTGTATTCTGGACACGTGAAACTGGAGGGACCTTATACCGGCCTACAGACGCGGCGTGTGGCCAGATGGCTAGGAGGAATCCAAAGCTCTTTCCATTTATGCTGTCTGCTCTCCAGTCTTATTTTAATTCGTTTTCCTTGGTGCTGTTTATTAAGTCTGTATATTTCTGCAGTTACAGAATCCTCTCTATTATGTTTATAAAACACAATACATGATCTCAGTTTTCCTTATTCAAATGCCAAAATATTTCCTGTGCTTTCATTCCACTTCACTGAAATGGGCTCATTTAAACCAAATCTGCCCCGAGCCTCTGCTAAAAGCACCTCCCAAATGTCTTCTCTTCAAAGATAATGACCTCTATTAGAGGAGAAAGGAAAATAATCACAGCATAAAGCTTTCTCTAATTTCCATACCATTTACCATTCCAAGGCTGAAGATAGCGTTTACCAAGGAGCCACCTTTCCTGAAGTGATCTGTCATGTGCTCCAGCCAATTTGCTTCCAAGCTGTTGACTGTCTGCCCATTCCTGGAGATCCTCATGGGGATGGTCACGGTGTAATACTGACTGCATCTCTGTGGGCTTTTGGGCTTGTTGAACAGGGCGAAGATCTCTGCTTCTAGCAAAACACAAACATGGGAGTTGGAAAAATGCAAACACCACAACATGCTCTTTCAGCTAAAACATTTGCCCTTGCCTGATTACACTGTATAACTGCAAATACTCCGTGGTTATCTCCTTAACACACTCGTGTAGTGTGCAGCACGCTGGGGTCCCAAATCCCAACATGGCATTTTTATTGTTGTTACTGTATTTATTATTAATAATGGATTTACTGTTGAAAATAAAACATTTAAAGATAGTAATATTTGAACACTGCTTGACTTCCCTCTTACTGGAGTTATCAGTATAAATAAACATATGAAAACAAATAAGCTCTGCAAACTGCAATAAGTATTGTAGCGTTCACATCACTATCAGAAATTAATGCAAACAGCACTTAAGTTTTTCTACTGAAAAAAAGAAAGTTAAATGATCTGTGACATTGAGGACAGTCCAAATCCTAACTGTGATTGCAAAATTAGAAGGAATTGAACTCCACAGCTCATGACATTTAAACTGTGCATACTGATAACTTGGTTTTGGTAACACAGCGGCATGGGCCCAGCAAGCAGTAGAGCAAGCAGGAAATACAGGAATCATAAATGCGGGGATTATGGCAGCTGGTTAGCTGATTTACTCTGGGTCTGAACCGAGGCGAGACACTACCACAACAGCAAATGAGTCTGGGGACGTGGAAGGGTCTTACAGGGGGGAGCCTTTTCCAGCTGCCTGCTGCACACCACTCCGAGTTTATCTCAGGAGCATTCAATCTAGTCTTACTGTTATAAAAATAAATATCAGTACTGGCAGCAAAAACATTCACAGCTGTAAAGTTCGAAGTAAGTGTAAGTGCAAATAAACCCCCCAAATTTTCAGGAGGGTAAAATTACCAGTAAAGCTACAGACATAAAATGGTTGTACATTATTATTTCACTTATTAATGGACAGGGAAATCCAGTCCTGGATGCAATTCAAGATGAAGCCACTACTGACAGCCATTTTCAGTGGGGAGCTTGACCATTTAATTACAGACATTTAATGTAATTAATTAATCACCTTCAATTTAGTTCTAGAAATCACAAATCTCTTGACATAACATTTGAGTATTTCTGCCTTGCTTATCCAAGGCAAACAATTTTCAACAAATAATTTCAGACTCTGATAATAAAAGTGACTGAACACTACAAAACGTTTGCCCAAAAGAAAAAAAAAGAACCATAAAAATAACACTTGAATAGGTAAAATCTTAAAGAAGAGAACAAAAATCAGATTTCATAGGAATTAAAAAAAGGTACTTTTTTGGGGGGAAGTTTTATGTACGGAAAAAGGTGTCCAAGAGTGCTGACTTCCTGCGAGTAAGTAGGCTAACTGGAAAAAAAAGGCACCTGGTGCTTTCTACCTTTATGTTCACAAGGAAGGATGGAGGACTGATGCCAAAGGCTGAAATACATTTTTTCCATGGGAGGAAAAGAGGAAAAGGGAGTGCTGTAATAATGAAAAGCCATACAAGAGTAATAAAGAAACCACTAATGTTGTACTGGCAATATATCTGGGAATATCCTACTATAGGTGAGCTATTTCTTTTTCTGTCACATAAAACAACTGACCTTCCCAGACTTCTACTCTTGGAAAGTATTAGCATAACTCACCAGTAAAAAAATGCAAAAGAAATTAATAAATTCAAGCCAGAAAGTACCGAGAGACAGAAGGATAAATAAATAAACCAAAAAGACTTTCAAAACAAAAGCTCTTGTCTGGCAAATCAGCAGCTGAAATAAAAATCTGAGATGCTGTAGAAGTGGGGAACATTTGAGGGGGTTCAGTTTTGCACTGCACAGAAATATTCAAAACATGGTTGCACTAAACCATGCACCAATTAGTGCACTAAAACATGTCCAGTGCTCAGCGTGGAGAAGCAGAGAATCAAGATAGAGTCAAACTTACTGGGTGAACTGTCTGGAAGTCAGAGTATAGATATAAAAAAAGTGAACTGGTCTAATTAATTCTGAACTACAAGACTAAGCGTGGTTCAACAACGTGCAAGATTACAACATAAACCAGCACAAGTTATTCAAATAATAGTTATGCTCTGACCAAATCTGGCTGTTCTCTTGCCCAGCAAAAATTGGAGAAACTCTGGTGAAAGGTCACTAGAGCTTGATCCAAATCTGATGGGAAAAAAACCTAATTGCCTCAAAATGCAACGGAAATCAAGACAATAGTTCAGTGGGGAGGCCATGGAAAGTCATCCTCAGTCCTACATATAAAATCCCCAAAGGGAGAGGATTGTTTGAATGAATTTGTGCAAAACATAGTGAATTGGGATAAAGTCAAGGACAGTGCCAATTCAAAGGAATGTCGATGGAATTTCCTTACGTAGACTCGTACCTTGCAAGGAAAGTCAGCAAGGCAGAAATAGAAATAAATGCACACAATGTTTTCTACGATTAAGACAAATATAGGAAAGAAAATTGTTCTGTTTAAATTGGGAAATTTATACTTTTTTGTGTGACTTTCCATTCACTACCCAATTCACTACCCAGTTTACACCACATTTTCAATTACAGCTACTGCCACTGAAGCAACCTCCCAGTAACAAGCAACTTGAGGTTAGAGGAAAGGTCCGGGAAAGAAACTGGCATATGAAGAATAATCTTCCAAAATAATTGAAAATAAGAAGGCAGATTATTAGGAGCACCGTTATAAGGACCACCATTGTGAATTTCCAAATCAGAATGATTAACAAAAACAACCACTACTTTGCAGTAATTACAACTTAACCACTACTTTGCAGTAATTACAGCTTTAACTTCAGCACTGACCCCTGCCTAAGTAGTAGACTCAAGGTCCAGGTCATATCCATTCATATCATTCCTGGTTTAGGGTAGTTTCTGCTCTCTGTTCATCTGCTACAATGGGTCTAAAGGCGATAAGGCTTTGAGACTTATGCCTTTCATTGCTGCAAAACCTTCTCAGACAAATTAGCAAGGTTTCTTTTCAATGGGTAGAAAGGATAAAAAGACCAAGAGCGTATTGGCACCACGTAGAGAAAAAAACTGAATTGGCTGAAGGAAAAGCCTTTAAACTCAGGCATGCAAACTGCTCATAACAAAAGTGCACCTGCTTATAGCATCTCTCCAGTTGCCATTTGACTTATTCTGTCACTGTTAACATGCTGAAATGTAGGGTAAGGGTTTTTTGGTGACTCTTTTCTACTCTATTGTAATAGTACTGAATTTGAGGAAAAACTCCAGAGAAGGAAACTACACAATCTCCCTAGTCAACCTGTTTCAGTGCTCTGTTACCCTCACAGTGGAGGAGTTCTTCCTCAAATTCAATACCATTCTTATATTGAGATATTCAAAACTTGTCTGTGCAACATGCTCTAGGAGAGCCTGCTTGTGCAGAAGGGTTGGCCTAGATGATCTCCAAAGGTCCCTTCCTCAGTGACTCTCTGATTCTGTGATGACAGGTTCCTCACCTAACTTCGAGCCCCCAGAAGTGCTAGCAACATACTTGACACAATCTTAAATTTGGCTTTCATTCATTAGAGGTCTTGGCAATACTCACTGCCGGTGAGCAGTTTTGAACTGGTGTTTCGGGCTGGCGTTTCACTCTCTGCTACTCCGTTCTGCTTGTCGGCTACTTCTCTTACACTTGGGTCCTTGTGTTCAAGCTCTTCTTCATTCTCCCTTGCAGACTTAGAATTCAGCTGCTCAGCAGCCTGTCCTTCACCTCTCCCATCCTCCCTGGACGTGGCACACTGCTCAGTGCTTTCCTCACTTGCTGGTAGAGCACTGCATCCATTTAGGCCGTCTATTTTCTCGCTATCCAGCGAAGCATGATCCTCAGGGTAATTTGAAAGGTTTTTATTATCTCTTGATTGCACCGAGTTGTTACTGGTGGGTGTCAGAGAGCAGCTGACAAGGCAGTTCTTTTGGGATCGGTACTGAGGTATAATTCCGACAAATTTCAAGCCTTGACTTGCAGCATCTTGAATCTACGAGTCAAAGAAGATTAGATTTTTAACTGGCAAGTTTCTTAACCACACAGAAATACAGGAAATAACACCCATCAAAGAAGCCAGAATGACATTTTACTACTTTTGTCCACTATCAGAGGAAATTGTCATGTTATATTTACATAAAATGTTAAACCCTGGTCAAACAGGATGACAAGTTCCCTGAACAGCCTGCAATAATATGAAAGTGCCCCCAAAAGATAAAATATCTCCTGAGTTCTTCACTAGGGATAAAACACCTGTTTGAAAAGTTTACTTATGGAAGTGGTATTACTAAAATGAGTTTTTAGTATCAAGCTTAGGCAATCAGGGACCTGTAATATTACATCTTCTGCCGTACAGCTTCTGAGTGTTCTGATTGTGACATTTATACAAGGAAACGTTCATTAATTCCCTTTTTTACATGCACCACTATAACAACAGTTGTTGCTTCCCTATTTTGAATTGAGATGTGAATGGCAAACTTTCATATGATGAGCGTATAAAAAGCAAAGTTATTTCAGAACATGGCTTTTGGGGAGATACAGAACAGACAGAATAGCAAAAGGTGTTGTGAGATGAGGAAAGAAGAAAAAATAATGGAAAGTAAGATAGAAGTGGTATCAATCCTTTAAATTTTAGGCAGAGGAGGAAAATGAAGGAACCAAATCATTAAAGATTGTGGGGGAAAAAAAAAAAAAAACACACCAGTAATGATAATTAGTAAAGTTCTAAAAAAGGAGCTAACGAAAGGCTTGAGATGAAGCAAAAGACAAATCTCTGTTGCACAGACTAAGTGTTTCTGGTGCACCGTCCACTCCCGCTCCCGAAACAGGGGAGAAACTGCAGCAAGAGCCAGACTATCACGAAGACGAGCGAGCGCCGACTGATTCACTCATCAAAATCCTCAACAGCAAAGGACAGGGTTCCAGTGTCACAGGGCTCTTCGTAAAATAAATAACATTTAAACACGTGTAAATATTTCAGAAATAAGTGCCTTGAGAATGAAGGACTAATACAACTTTCTGTGCATACTCTGTAATTAGATAGAATTTGAGTGCTCTAATTATTCTGTGAAGTTCAGCTTAGTATGAACCTAACAGTATAACAGTTCAGGCTTTCTCAGTAGCAAGTAAAACACTGAATTGTACCTGAGTTTTTAGTCTGAAAGCACATGGGAGGGATCAGAATAATGAAGATTTTTGTACAATCCTACCCCCCTCCTTTTTTTTAAAGAGGAAGCCTATTTCTGCACCTTCCCTACCCAGACTTTCTTTTTTTTTCTTTTTTTTTTTTTTAATGAATCATCTACTTCCTGGCAACGTGTCACTGTTCTGAACACGCGGACAAACTTACAGATGATACCTGATCAACAAGAACTTCCTCTTTCAAACCACAGTTATTTTTTCCATGTTAAATTAACTCTTAGAATTGCGATGCCAGGGACTTAAGCTCAGCTCTCCAGGAAACAAGGCAACATTCTCCTCAGGGGTTGGGCCCAATGAACATGAGATGCTGATTTCAGTAAAGCTTATTGCTCAGGTGGGATAATAACCTCCCTATAAAATACTACTAAGAATATCCTTATCAAATGGATGCTTTTCTATTCAGGAAGCTAGTAAATAGCTGGCTCTCTCAGCAAGTTTTAAGAGACTGCCAATGATGGATGGATTCATACTATGCTTAATGCCTTACCCCGCCACGTTCCAATTTTACAAATGCTTTTTTATACACTCCTTGACAGATACAGTCACAAATTCAGTTCATCTATCATCGCTGATCGAAACTACATTTGTTTTGTAGGTTGCAGGGCAGCTAATTATAGAAATGTAACTGCTAGGAGCCTGGGGAATAGTACACGTGTAGTAATTTCACTGGTCCTGGAACACTGCACGTCAATCCACACAGGGCTCTCCCACGCCGCGATCTGGAGCCTTCACAGCTATCGCAGCTATTTTATGTTGCAGTCCTGAGACACTTTAAAAAAAACATATTTTTTTCTATGAAGTACCTGATCTTGAGGTATTCTTCTGAGACTCTTGTTCTCAGAAGCAGAAAAGGAGGAACTAAGGACAGATGGATAGTCTGTGTTCACCTAATGCAGCAGAAATATTGGAAACACTGAATGCGCCGTCAAGGCCCTTTTCAAACAAATCAATCAGCAGTACATAGGATATACTATGCTATTTAAACTTGCATTTCGATTTTTTTTCGATTACATAAGGGAGGATCAAGCATCTCATTATTTTCAATACAGCCAAAAGAGCAGGAAATGTTACATCAACAGCTCAATAGAGCTGCAGAACAGCTAAGTGATGTATCAGCAGATGCAAGCAGTCTGTCTTTCCAACTTTCCACAGAAACACCAGGAGGTTAACTCTCAGTATAAATAAAAAATGAAGCCTTAACATTTTTCAAATTAAAAATAGACACAACTTGATTTTGGGGCATCCTGTTTAGAGTTCAAATAGGACAAATTCTTAGTTGTCTGTACATCCAGAATGAATTATCCCATCCAGTATATATTAAAATTTCCTGTATTTGATTTATTTACTATTGCCTTTAATCCATAACTGCAGTGTAGAAAAATACCTCATATATTCAGAGACATGCCTTCTCAGAGAATTAAAAAATCCATTGTTTCACTCTTAATTTTGGATACAGTTGCCCACCACCCTGCATCATTTAAAACTAATAAATTATATGATGGATTCGGGACATGCGAAGTTTTACTGTTTCTCCTTCATCTTATTGCTGCTGCTTGTTTAAAGGTTGTTTTTCGTTACTGAATGAAAGGCAGCAAGAGAACCTGAGCTCGCAGACCCTCCTGAAAGGCAAGCGGGGACAAGCTCCCCCGGACAGGCCAGGGCAGACGTTCCTCAGTGTCTCCAAGGGCATCACCATGAAGGGGACACCGTGTCCTGCTGCTGCTGTGCACGTGGCCCGCGTGACTGACTGCATATCCAAAACACGACCCAGGACACGCTGTGAATCCTTCAATCAGGTGGCCCACAGTACTTCCAGCTCTTGGTTACATTTTAAACATGCCACATACAGGTTATTGTTCTGAGCTGGGGACTTTTTTAGAAAGGGAAACTCCAGCAACACACACAAAAAAAGTCTTTGGTTCTTTCCCCAGATGGGAACAGAAACATTTTAGTGGCTAACGAAGCGCTGCATGGATGATGTCGGCCACAGACAAAAGGGCAGGTCCCCACCACAAGAGATGGCATCGTCTAGTACCAGAATCAGGACATGCCTCATTTATTATAATCTGGGTAAATCCCTAAGTGGGTACATCTAATACAGTTAAAAACTGGCATGTATAAAATTGGACTCACGCCAGTGTAAAAATAGAAACTGTTTAAAGAAGGGGTGAAATTTCATGTGCATGGAGGGCTGAGGCAGTTACTGAATTTAATACCATCTCTATAATTTGCCTGATTAGAAACTTGGCATTTTCCCTGAGGGGTAAAAATGACAGGTTTAGCCTTTGCTATCTGTGAAATAAATATCAAATCTTCCACTAACTCTGGCAGAAACAGGAGCAAGCACCGTGTCAAACCCCTGTTGTCGCTACCTTAATTGAATTTTAGCTGGGGACGCTAATGTTAACATTTTGTAACATTTGTGAAGTGCTATTTTTTATCTTGTAAGTGACTGACCACTACTTTCGTATTGCATTTGGAAAAAAAAGGCACAAGCAGCAGCACAAAGAAGTGTCACCAGACATTATGTTCACGTAGCAAATAGGTGCCCCATCTTTTTTAACCACTTCTCATCTAATGAGAGAAGAGCTGGCGGTCTATTTTGAACATCAGAAAACTACATCCTGCAACAGCACAGCTGAGAGATGAAACCCTCTTTTCTGAAAACTGCTTGTTTTCTTTTCAAATCTGTTTAAAATAAAGACACTTTGCTGACACTGAAGTTCAATGTTCATTGCAAGTTTTGTCTGTGATCCCGCGCTTACTGTTGCATTATCGGCTCCAAAATCAGCTCCCTTTTACAGTGAGCAGGATGGTATTACCCAAAGATCCCGACGTGGGTCCAGCGCCGAGGAGCAGGACGCACCTCTGCCAGCGCCGGGAAGCGCCCGCAGCGCAGTGCGACCGTGCGCGCTTCTCCCGCGGGATAACCAGCAACTTTGGGATATATCCCACCTGCATCAATAGGCATGGGAATCGCAGCAGAGCAATTTAATAATGACAACCTCCTTCTTGGATACGGATTTTCAAACAATTGATTTAATAAGACAAGCGTTATAAATTTCTCTTAACTCTTGGGTGCCAGGAGCTGGAAGGTTTGGCATGCATCCAGAGCAAAAGGAGTTTTACTAACACCAACAGGACACTCTGGTTTACAGCGCTCCTAAATGGATGCCAGGAGCAGGAAGATTTTGGCATCCCACCAGAGTAAAAGCAGCTTTACCCCTGCCATGAGGACACTCGAGTTTACAGCAGTCCTAAATGGTCTCCAGGCTTGAGCTTCCTGATGATGTGGATAGAAAATACCTTCAGAACATAGTCATCAGGAGATATCATTTCATTCATAGGCTTGCTATGCATTACTTTAAATATATATATAGATATATATATATACAAAAATGGTAGCAACCAACTAAAGGGGATTGTTACTAATATAAAAACAAATGAGATAAATAATTCACAAAGAGCATACGTACCAAAAATGCACTTGGACCAGAGGAAAAAAGACAGTGCCTAGTGGTGACCCACAATTAGCTCTGTCATTCAGTAGGCACAAGCAGCCTGCTGCTTAGTGCAACTAATGGGGAAATGCACAGCCTTTGAAACAACGCCTGGCTTAACTTCGCTCAGAGCTTTCCAAAACGCTTTCAAACCAAGCCAGCGCTGCCTTAGCTAATAAGAGAAGTATTTGCCTGCTGTTTTTAAAGAATAACGCTAGAAGCATTAGATCCATAACGTACACCAGAAACAGGATCGCTGTATTTTTCCTACCTCCTTTTAAGCCTCAAACAA